GCTCCGACTTGATGGCACACAACAACAACAACAACTCAATTCTAAGAAAAATCTAGGCAGTAACATGGAAATTTAATTAAACCCCACTTTCCCTCAAGTGAAATTATGAAATACCAAAGAACACTAAAATCATCAAATGGATAATGGGACTTAATCTTCCATTTACTTAACAACCATGTAAATATGGAAGACTTCTTAAAATTGGCAACAAATTAATAATTTCTTCGTTAGTGTCTAATAGTCCCTTAAATGTGTTTGTCTTAATTAAAGTGGTTATTTAAAATTTTTTATTATTGCAAACAAATGCTAATCCTTTCAGAAAAGAGGCAAATTTCCAGGACTTAAATTTCGTCCATTTTACTAGTTAAAATACTAATGCCAGTTCTTAGAAAATGTCGACATTTCCATCTAAGATGGCAGACTAGGCAGAAGGACTGCACAGACCCTCTTCAACAAAGAAAAGGGAAACCAATTAACACAGACATAGAAGATAATCATGAACCCCTGAGCCTTGAAGGGAAGGATATAGAAGTGGACTAAACCCCAACTAGCAGAAGAATTTGCGTGAAAATACCAAAAAAAGGAGACAGACGGAGCTGCGGTCTGGCAGCGATCCTGAGCGATCCTGATGGCACAGACAGCTTGGAGATTCCCAAGTGCTGGAAGGACCTAAGAATTAACCTAAAAATCAGGTCTGTTAGCAAGGGACTGCACAGAGGACTGTTCTGGAGGCTATGGAATAAAACGGGAAGCAGCGGTGAAGAAGACGACAAGCTGAGCTGTGGACTTTTGCCTGTCCAGAGGGTGCCGCCATTTTGAATGTTTACAAGCAGCTTGACCATTTTGGATATTTAGAGAGACAGTGCTCTCCCATATTCCAGGGGCTGAAGAACAGGTTCTGCTTGCAAGTAACCCCAAAGACATTCCGGACCTGCACGACTGAAAAGGTGCAATATTCCTCTTGTTACTCTTACACCCCACACCTGCTTGGTGAACATAAGTGCAGCCATCCCCCACTCCCACCAACCTTCTGGGGCTACAGGAACTCCATTACAGTCTGTGTACTCAATTGGAGTCTGCCCTATCAGAGCCTGCCCTGCCCTATCCTCCACTGATTGTTTTCTTTTTATTTTTGTTCTTTCTTTCTTTCTTTTTACTGTTGTTTAGTTTGCTTGTA